AATCTGATTGGTAACTTCACCTGGTTCCTTATTCATACAGATACCAATCTGATTGGTATCTCACCAGGTTCCTTATCACACAGAGACCAATCTGATTGGTAACTCACCAAGGTTCCTTATCATACAGAGACCAATCTGATTGGTAACTCACCTGGTTCCTTATCATACAGAGACCAATCTGATTGGTAACTCATCTGATTCCTTATCATACAAAGACCAATCTGATTGGAAACTTACCTGGTTCCTTATCATACAGAGACCAATCTGATTGGTAACTCACCTGGTTCCTTATCACACAGAGACCAATGTGATTGGAAACTTACCTGGTTCCTTATCACACAGATACCAATCTGATTGGTAACTTACCTGGTTCCTTTTCATACAGAGACCAATCTGATTGGTAACTCACCTGGTTCCTTATCACACAATACCAATCTGATTGGTAACTCACCTGGTTTCTTATCACACAGATACCAATCTGATTGGTAACTTACCTGGTTCCTTATCACAGATACCAATCTGATTGGTAACTCACCTGGTTCCTTATCATGCAGAGACCAATCTGATTGGTAACTCACCAGGTTCCTTATCATGCAGAGACTAATCTGATTGGTAACTCACCAGGTTCCGTATCATACAGAGACTAATCTGATTGGTAACTCACCTGGTTCCTTATCATACAGATACCAATCTGATTGGTATCTCACCTGGTTCCTTATCATACAAAGACCAATCTGATTGATAACTCACCGGTTCCTTATCATACAGATACCAATCTGATTGGTAACTCACCGGTTCCTTATCATACAGGACCAATCTGATTGGTAACTCACCAGGTTCCTTATCACACAGAGACCAATCTGATTGGTAACTCACCTGGTTCCTTTTCATACAGAGACCAATCTGATTGGTAACTCACCAGGTTACTTATCATACAGAGACCAATCTGATTGGTAACTCACCTGGTTCCTTATCTCACAGATACCAATCTGATTGGTAACTCACCAGGTTCCTTATCATACATATGCCAATCTGGATGTGTAATGACGTTGATTTTTTTAGCAGATGTGGTAACTCACCTGGTTCCTTATCATACAGATACCAATCTGATTGGTAACTCACCTGGTTCCTTATCTCACAGAGACCAATCTGATTGGTAACTCACCAGGTTCCTTATCACACAGAGACCAATCTGATTGGTAACTCACCAGGTTCCTTATCATACATATGCCAATCTGATTGGTAACTCACCTGGTTCCTTATCTCACAGAGACCAATCTGATTGGTAACTCACCTGGTTCCTTTTCATACAGAGACCAATCTGATTGGTAAAACACCTGGTTCCTTAACTCACAGAGACCAATCTGATTGGTAACTCACCAGGTTACTTATCATACAGAGACCAATCTGATTGGTAACTCACCTGGTTCCTTATCACACAGAGACCAATCTGATTGGTAACTCATCAGGTTCCTTATCATACAGATACCAATCTGATTGGTAACTCACCAGGTTCATTATCATACAGAGGCCAATCTGATTGGAAACTCACCTGGTTCCTTTTCATACAGAGACCAATCTGATTGGTAACTCACCAGGTTCCTTATCATACAGAGACCAATCTGATAGGTAACTTACCTGGTTCCTTTTCATACAGAGACCAATCTGATTGGTAACTCACCAGGTTCCTTATCATACAGAGACAATCTGATTGGTAACTCACCAGGTTCCTTATCACAGATACCAATCTGATTGGTAACTCACCAGGTTCCTTATCATCACAGAGACCTAATCTGATTGGTAACTCACCTAGGTTCCTTATCATACAGATACCAATCTGATTGGTAACTCACCAGGTTCCTTATCACACAGAGACCAATCTGATTGGTAACTCACCTGGTTCCTTATCATACAGATACCAATCTGATTGGTAACTCACCTGGTTCCTTATCATACAGAGACCAATCTGATTGATAACTCACCAGGTTCCTTATCATACAGATACCAATCTGATTGGTAACTCACCTGGTTCCTTATCATACAGATACCAATCTGATTGGTAACTCACCTGGTTCCTTATCATGCAGAGACCAATCTGATTGGTAACTCACCAGGTTCCTTATCATACAGAGACCAATCTGATTGGTAACTCACCTGGTTCCTTATCATACAGATACCAATCTGATTGGTAATTCACCATTGAAGTTCTTTGTCATGCAGAGACCATTCAGATTGGTAACTCACCAGGTTCCTTATCACACAGATACCAATCTGATTGGTAACTCACCTGGTTCCTTTTCATACAGAGACCAATCTGATTGGTAACTCACCTGGTTCCTTATCACACAGATACCAATCTGATTGGTAACTCACCTGGTTCCTTTTCATACAGAGACCAATCTGATTGGTAACTCACCTGGTTCCTTATCATACAGACACTAATCTGATTGTTAACTCACCTGGTTCCTTTTCATACAGAGACCAATCTGATTGGTAACTCACCTGGTTCCTTATCACACAGAGACCAATCTGATTGGTAACTCACCTGGTTCCTTATCTCACAGAGACCAATCTGATTGGTAACTCACCAGGTTCCTTATCATGCAGAGACCAATCTGATTGGTAACTCACCTGGTTCCTTATCATATAGATACCAATCTGATTGGTAACTCACCAGGTTCCTTATCATACAGAGACCAATCTGATTGGAAACTTACCTGGTTCCTTATCACACAGATACCAATCTGATTGGTAACTCACCTGGTTCCTTATCACACAGAGACCATTCTGATTGGTAACTCACCTGGTTCCTTATCATACAGACACTAATCTGATTGTTAACTCACCTGGTTCCTTATCACACAGATACCAATCTGATTGGTAACTCACCTGGTTCCTTATCACACAGATACCAATCTGATTGGTAACTCAACTGGTTCCTTATCACACAGAGACCAATCTGATTGGTAACTCACCAGGTTCCTTATCATACAGAGACTAATCTGATTGGTAACTCACCTAGTTCCTTATCATACAGAGACTAATCTGATTGGTAACTCACCTGGTTCCTTATCATACAGAGACCAATCTGATTGTTAATTCACAAGATTCCTCATCACAAAGAGACCAATCTGAGACCTACAGGACAGAAAACTTACCATCCTCTGAATCAAGATTCAACCAGTGTATGTCTGTACCAGATATCCTGCCTATGTGTCTAACAATTTCATATCTTTCTTCACTTGTTAAGTATTTCAATACAAAGTATGGCACTTCTAATAGGAAGTCCTGATAGGATAAATATTTAGTAAAAGAATAAATTTAATAAGGAATGAAGCCGTATACTGACAAGTAATTATATATATCAAAACATTAACTGTCAATTCTTTGGTTTTCTCCTTGGGGATGAAAGTTCCCTCAACCTAATTTCCTAACTGACCACTAGAGGGCATTTTCAGGCTCAATAGATATCCCCTGTTTTTACCACTGTGTGTAAATATTTCACAGTAAAATCTGTAGCAGTTCAGTTCAGTTAGATATTTGTTCTGAAATCACCAGAATTGATGAGATTGATTGATTTTACCAACTAGTTGAAACATTGCCAAGACAAATCACACAAATCGTCACAGTCGACTGGCAATGTGCCTGCAGAAAACATGGCCTCCATACCATTTCAGGCTACAATTTGTTTATTTGAAATTTGTTTGTAATAGAATTTGAACCAAAGATGTGACCAATTTCAAACAAAAACATCAGGTTAAAGTACTGTAACCAGAGCATATACAGGTAGCATGTGTCATTGAAATTTGACAAGTGATTCTTGAGATATGCATACACACAAATAGACTAATTGCAAGGACGAGTAGATGAGTCTAAAATAAAAACAAGCAGTCTCTCAGCTGAGATAGCTCCGCTCTTAGCAATTCACATTTCAATTAAAGAATTGAAGATATTAGAAAATGAACAAATCTAAGAAAGGTCTGCCTAAGGTACTTATACACCAAGTAACAAAGCAACAAGAATTGTAGTTTTCAAGAAGTCGAAAAAGTTGACATAGACGACGGATGCCAACGGACAATCACTCATATGATAAGCTCCGCTCGTCAAGTCGAAATCGGGGCTAAAAATTAAACACAGCAACCCATAATATGTGATGTTCAAACTATGTTTGATTAAAATTGACTTGTTCGTTGCTGTGAAATCGTTGTATAACTATGTACATACAAACACACACACACACACACACACGCGCACACACACACACACACGCACGCACGCACACACGCACACACGCACACACACACACACACACACGCACGCACGCACACACGCACACACACACACACACACGCACGCACGCACACACGCACACACGCACACACACACACACACACACGCATGCACACACACACGCACGCACGCACACACGCACACACACACACACACGCACACACACACACACGCACGCACGCACATACTGGGGGCATTTCATTATTAAAGCACCTGTTCAGGGCTGCTAAAACAGTTTCCAGAACAATAACACTATATATTAGATATCATGAAATAGCTTCAGAGTGTGCCACATTTACTCTATGAGTTACACATGTAAATATAGAGGTGTTTCTGTGGTTAAAATTATAATATTTAAATGACACAGTATACAGCAAATGCGATTTTTGCTTTATATTGTAGAGATTCTTATAAACTACTTACATTTCCTATGTGTGCATCATTTGTAATCTGTGAAAATGAGAATAGATGGTTAGAGTTACAGCAATGAGGGCGGCCGGGCGGGCAGCCAGTCAGTCAGTCAGTCAGGTAGGAAGGTAGGAAGGTAGGAAGGAAGGTATCGGCATAATAATTGTTTGCTCTTATGACCAGTTCTCTACATACCTGAGGAGCTGTTTTCAGAATGTACAAAGCACTTTTCACTTCTTCACTGATTTTCTAAGTATAAAATAGTACACACATATAAGACTAATGCAATCCTACCAACAATGACAGGAATTCTCCAACATTTATCTGACAATTCAAATCTTCCCCACAATGTATGATGCAGTAACGCTTTCTATTTTATGTTACCAACTTACCTTATAGTTTTGTGGATTGGATACAGTCACCATAGCAACATTGTCTTTGAAATGCTTCTTAATACAAACTTTGTATTTTGTTGGTAAGGATAATGCCAAAGCTATTGGTAAAGTAAACTATTAGTAATGAAGTAAATCTCATTCTTAGACTACTGTACTCGACCGCGTTAACGCCCAGGGTCCTCAACTCATAAAATCAGGATTTTTTAGGGGTGGGCGCTTACCCGAGCACCCCCTCGGAAAAGAGTGCAACTGACAATTTTAATTCACCGTGTGACAGATTGAGGGGGATATTACGTCTTTGGAAATTTGAGGAAAAATAAAATTACAAAACTAATAGGTGAGTTGTCATTGACTCTTACAATGAAGAAACAGAAATGGTCAAATATGCACATTTTATTACAATATTAATTACATACCACCCGAATTTATGAGATTAAAAATATTTGAGTCAAAATCAAAATCTTCATTATCGCCACTGACGAATGTGTCCGATCGTACATAAACTCTTTCCGCCATGATGTACTTGCATTTGTCCTGCATCAACGTCCTTTGACCTTTGACGGGTTAAGTCTGTTATCATCCAATCAAAATGCTGTGTGGTACCGACGCAATTCTTCGGAAATTCTCGAAGACCCTTGGGTAATGCAATGTGGAAGTGAATTATCGATGTCGAAGTACGATCTGTTGGAGTTGATTTTGGCAAATAAATGACATGTTTTTGTTTTTTAAATGGTAAATAGCAATTTTTATCGGTAAACTGAATACGGCATGCAATATTTACTGCATTTTACTTTTATTAACAGGTCATTGTCGAAGTGTAGTTTACGCACGGTTACCGTGGTATACGCATTCACAACATATTCACGGCGGTCATATCCACGCTGTATCATATAAAAACAAATAAATTAATGGCATTTTGAAGGGGTGGGCGCTTTGCCGAATGTGACCCCGAATATAAACATAGTTGAACTCTGGTGACCTTGCCCTTTGTTATATAATATAATTCCCTTTATCATAGTTTGTTTCAATATAAATATGCATTGTCATAATTAATTTTGAATACAAACAAGTTTTGGGGTTGAACCAACAGTGGGGAATCAGTCTACCGAATGTCCTTAAAAGATGTAAACATCTTACA